CTGGAGGAGTTATCGTTATGGTTGGGCTTGGCGCACCGAGAACTGAATTGCCCATGATAGACGCCTGTCTCAGAGAAGTAGACATAAGGGGCGTTTTCAGATATGCAAATTGGTATATGAGTCTCTTATTATCCTTAACAGTGTCTTAATAAGCAGCGATTTAGTTACTCAACTGCACTGAATCTGGTTGCATCGAAGAAACTCGACCTGTCTGGACTTACACGAGCTCACTACAAGCTTGACGAGGCCGTCCAAGCTTTTGAGCGATCGCGAAAAGCAGACGTTATCAAAGTGTTTATAAATTGTTAGATGTAGAACACTAGGTTTTGTTGCTCTCATGAATTACACTGAGTGAGGAGATGGTATTACAGTTTATAACAACAGGCATTATACTAGACTACCGGAATCCCGTGTCCTGTATAAAAGTACCAAATTTTTTGATTGCATCTCGCTATCGTCGAGATTTCATGCGAAAAGTAGACTAGTTTACGGCTGTGAAAGCAAAAGATCATCTCATATCTCTGAAATTGGACGCTGATGTTCTGCATAGGGAGCGGCAAAAGCGGATATAGCTGAGAAATATCTGGCTGCTAATCAGAAGTATCGTATTCATTTTGCAGTTCAGCAATATTGCGAGATTGCGGAAGGGATCAAATCACAAATAGGACGGTAGGATATTTTTTCAATCTAACCCGCATATTACGATTAACTCCAGGCGTTTTGGAGCCTATGATAAGCTCTCGTTAATATCAGGAGAAATAAGAATTGATTGCGTACAAGAAGCCTCGCTGCTGTTGTGGAGTAGCCATTGTATGAGGTCGAAATGCGAAGGTCCCACCATACAAACTTTACTGTGCTTGATGCTAGGATGCAAAATGGAAATGATTTTGAAATGAATAGCCTCATACTCCATGTGGAGCTGGAATATTGACCCTTCGCCATTTAGCTGCCCAACCCGGCATGATTTGATAAGTTTCGTAACTTCAAATGCATTCCACTCAACAATGTTATTTGAAAGCAAACGTTCATTACAAATTTAATATTGTTGAAAATCATTCTTGTCCACTTCCTTCAGCAAAGGTTGTCTCCTCATTTAGCAGTTTCAGCCTTTCCTCAACATCTTTCTAAATACATCAATTATGAGTGAAAGCATTTTTTGAGAGAGATTTTGATATTAAGTTAATCAAC